CCTACTTTCTCTTGAAGTTGATCTTTACAGAAAATAGAAAGTCCTATCATAATTCTAATCTTATCTCTTTATCTCTTGAACTCAATCCCTTTTTCACTCTAAGATTACATCAAGACTTTGGATCTAGAAGGATTCTTCTTAGTTTCTTGGTCTTGGATTCGTAGTAGACTTCCTCTGCGATTTGGGCTTCAGCCAGGCTTTTCTGCGAGTTGGGCTTCAGCTGTGGATTGGGCCTTCCTATGAATTTTCCGCAACTTCAGGCCCGGAATTGACTTCGATGCAGGCCTAATCTGCGAAATCCCAAAACATGAAAGTTGTGGATTTTTCTCTTATCTTTCCAGTGGATCTTGAATTATCCCATTTGGAGTTCGGAGACGCGAGTTAGGCCCAGATTACTGAACGATGTTGAAACTGTGAAAAATCATCCGATTTGTCTTTCTTTGCTCTTGATGCCTTCTTTCATACCCTGGATCAAAATACAAKAAATATGAGTCCAATTAGATGCTAATTTAGTATAAAATATAGAATAATTGGGGATAAAAATATGATAAATTCTACTCTCATCACCCCCCAAGCTAGGTCCTTCTTCTTCTTGCTGTCACTTGGAGCTGGGGGCTTTGGTTCCCTTTTTCTTTTTTCAAGGGCCTGTTCGCCCTTTTGGTTGATCTCCTCTTCTGTCCCTGTGAACCGATCTGTTAGTTCGAGGAACTCGGTCATGGTCTTGGGTTGGTTGACCACCACATGCCATCTGAACTCCTTGTGGGTAATGCCCCGCTTGGCCGCAATGAGCCGAACTGCAGGGTCTAGGTCGGGTATCTGCAAGCAAGCGTCATTAAACTGCTTGATGTAGTTCCGAATGGACTCTCCTTCCCTCTGGACTATGCTGAGGAGGCTTTCTTGGGTCCTCGGGCACCTCTTACTAGTGACAAAGTGGGAGGTGAAGACCTGCACGAACGGCACCCAACTCCTTATTGAGCCCGGCGTGAGGTTTCGGTACCAGGTGCGGGCTACTCCCTTGAAAGTAGTGGAGAAGGCCACTCACATGCAAGACTCGCTCGCCCTGGCCAGATACATCTGGGACTGGAAGGCGTCGACATGGTCGTTGGGGTCAAAGGACCCATCGTACTTGTCCAGTAGGGGGAGCTTGAAGTCCCTTGGCATGGGGCCAATGAGGAACTCCAGGGACAGAGGGGAGGGAATTGAAAGAAGTGGTGTAGCTTTTACCTCTTCCGAACTTATTTCTACTTTGCCTCTGAGCTCGGGCAGGCTGTGGGTGGTGGCAGTTCAGCGAGCTCGGCGGCGTCTCCGCTGCTTCTTGGCCGGCTCGACGTTGGTGCTACTGGCCTCGGTGCTACTGAGCTCAATGGGCCTAGGGAGAGGCAGGGACGACTGTCGGTAGCTATGAACAGAGGGACCTTGTTCCCGGTTGTCGGCTAGCACTTTGAACCGGTTCTCCGCAAGCAGAGGTTTAAACTGCGAACGCTGAGGTGACGCCGGCCTAATCGGCTGGGAAGCCCCCGACCTGACTGCAGGTTGCGAGGCGGGGGTAGGGAGTCTTTCCTTCCTTCCATGAGACGATGCCGAGGTCTCTCCTCGGCGGAAAGGGAGTTCACTGCGGCGGTGAGGCTTAGTTGGCTACGCAGGTGGGTGTCGGGGAGGGAGTGAAGGAAATTGTTGCTGATACTGATACTGGGACACTTGGTGCAACACTTGCTGCTGGTGGAACTGAAGTTGCTGGAACTGTTGCATTTGGGCCTGTATGGCTCGCATGCACTGCATCAGGTCTTCGAACTGACCTTGGTTGGCCACCGGAGGGAGGATGATGGGTTCAGCGAAGGTTGTTCCAATGGCAAAGGGTAATGGAACGGTCACGGGTGCCACTGTCAGGGGCACATTCAGACTAGGTACCCCGTCCATGGAGAGGGGGACGATGAACTGCCTGATGCAGACGGTGGGTAGCTGGAGTTGTTCCTCTGAGGTGTTCCGGCGTCCGGAGTTGTTGGAGGAAGCCATGGTGATGATGAGTTCTTTGAGGGAAGTTTCACAGAAGTTAGAGGAAGGCCTTTTGAAGCGTTCCCATAGACGGCGCCAAATGATGCAGCACAATCTGGGCACTCCTAGCTGGCTGAGAATTGGCTCCTAACTGTGATGGACGACACCTGAGAGGAAGAAGAAAGTGAAGGGTTCCCGGGGAGCTCTCCCAAAGGAAACACTTCGATGGCTAAGTTAGAACTCTGAGGAAAACTCAAAGAAGATACAGAGAGTTAAGAGTGTTGAAAGTGCTAGCTTCAATACCTTCGCTTCGTGAGGGTTGGGGTTCTTTTATATCGGAGCTTGGTCACATCTGGCATA